ATTTGAGAAGAAAAAAAAAATATATATATATATATATATATATAAGTTCAAAAAGTAGAAAACATGAAAAAATTATAGAACATTGAAGAAAAGGGAGAAAGAAAGAAAAAATAAAAAAAAATCCAAAAAAAAAGGGAAGAAAATTTTTTTTATAAAAATCTGGAAAATAAAAGATATCTTTTCATCAGCTCACACGATTATATCTCCAAAAAGGAGCGCTTTCTAATATTGAATCAATATAGCCAAAGCAAAATATATCAATACAATAGTGTGAGGGGCACTAAAAAAAATTTTTTTTTAGAAACAAATAGAACACATTGAGTAAAAATATCACGTAAAAACAGAAAATAAAATGTAAAGAAAAAGCAGAACAAAATATAAAACAAAATCCATAAAGCTAGTAGAAAATTCAAATGAACTTACATGAACGGGAAACTTTTTACGATGATTTAAAATATTTTTGTAGCAAGATTGCCAGATTACGAAATATGAAAACAGAAGCACAAATTGAGATAAAAGCGTAAATAGAGGAGTTTGGTTTTATAGTGCGTGCTTATCGAAGTACTGAAGTGCATTTGATTTGTTACCAAGGATGGCCCGAAAATGGATGTGCACAAGGTAATATTATACTGGATAATTTAAAGAAGTTGACAGTTAATAATTTTAGAAAATTAACTTTTATTTAAGAAAAAAATAAATAAAGCGAGAGAGAGAGAGAGAGAGAGAGAGAGAGAAAGAAACATGAATGGCCAGTTCTGTGCATAATTTTAGTCACGGATTTGCATAAAACTTATTGCTTTTTTTAAAATTTTCTCCATTTTTTTTCTTTTTGGTTTATCTATTATGCTATATATCAGAGCTAAGGCTAGTTTATTAATTTTAACTTTTTATAGAATATTTTTGTTTAACTTCACTTTTTCTGTTTTTGCTTAAATAAAGGATTATAAATTACAATTGATATTTCAAGAAGTGATGTTAATTTCTACAATAACAGAGAAAGCTGTTCTGACGACTCAAAGAAGTTTTTTCCTTTTAAAATTTTAAACAAAAATAAGATATGCCGCATTGATTTAAACATTTAATTGTATTAACTTTTATTATTCTTTAACCAATTATGAAGAGAGACAAAAAATTCACCTATGAGGAACCTTAGATAAATGTGACAAACTTTGATCGACATTTAAAGCATTCTATATTAAGCATATAATATGCAAAATTACAAAAAAGGATACATCTCTGGATAGATATCCATGTTAATAGACTGCAAAACATCTAAAGCCGACAACACCTGAAAAATTAAAATGACATTTCATTTCAATTTAAAAGAGCAAAAAAAATATATATACAGTTTCTGGCCAAACTATAAGATTCGATGTAAAATCTTAATTATCATGTGATACTATACAGCTTTATTGTTTTTACGAGACTGTTCGCACACTTGTTTATGTTCGCGAATCAGTTGGTTTATATGGTAAAGCAGTACGTTATATACAAAAAATAAATACAAATGGAAAGTATATTAAAAATCTCCTGAATAAAAAACCATTAAATGTATGCTTAAATATAAAAGTATAGTATATAAACTCCTGCAAAACGTGTAATTATAAAACACTATAGAGCTATTCTAATAATTGGGTCTAATTATTGTAATGTACTAATACATTCTATATATATATAATATATCGTCTGATTTAACCAAATGTCCAATTTATATGATATATCGCCTAATATAACCAATTGATACACGAATGTAAACAAGGGCAAACTGGCTTCAATCCTGTAAACAATAAAGCAGTATAGTATAATCTGATAATTAAGATTTTACATAGATTCTAATATTCCGTCTAATAATTTGGTCAGGGACTATATAGACATCAAAAATAATAGTATATTAAAAGAAGAAACAAAAAACTAACAAATTTCCTAGTAGATTAATCCTAATGCTTTTAAAGTAGAAAAATTATAACAGACATTTTTATTTCTTAACTATGCACTTTAAACAATGTCAATGAAAACGAATGAATTGCAAATACTGAAAAATAACATAAAATAAGTCAAATTGCTTTAAAACATCCATTGAGTCATTACTATTATATTACTTTTGACAAAAAGAATGTGCACTTTAAAATTATTTTTACTCTGACAAATTTGTCATCAAAATTGATTATATATTCTCTCCTTATTTTTTATTAATAACCATAGAACAGATATCAAATACTTTCCTGATGAATAACATCATAAATTATTGATTTTTTATCAGATTTTTGTTTAAAAAAATCATTTAAAAATTATTATTAAAATTTCTTTTTTGTAAATATTTCAATATAAATAAATTTTAACAATATATTTGAAACTAAATTATGACATACTTGTTTTATATAAACACATAAAACACTCGATTATATAATTCAGAGTTAACGAAAATAGAATATAAATATATCATTATTTAAAACCTAAAAATCAGTTAAAATAAGTAAAATAATAATTTAATTTAAAATTGTGTGTTCTTATTTTCTATTTTTCTAAAAACAAAATGACAAAATCAAGCTTAAAAAAATGAATAACAAGTACTTTTATATATTTTACTAGAATTACTTATTTATTAAATTTTTTTTACTTCTTTATTAACTTTTTATTCCATATTAGAATAGTTTTATTTTAATTTTATATAAACTTTCCAATTCAGAAGTATAATTGCATTGTTAAAATAATATGCAGTGTTTTCATCATAGAAAAAAAATGGGTGAGAATTTCTCACCCTTTCTCAAAAACAGGGTGAGATTTCAGAAAGTTAAGTAAGATTTCTAAAAACTGAAAAAATACAAATAGACTTGAAAAAAAAATTTCTTTCATTATAATACATTTTTAACGTCTTCTATTTTTTAAAGCATTGAATATTCTTGCTGCATCATCATAGAAGATTTTGCCTTTACTAGGTATTTGTCCATCTTACATTAGTGCATAAAAAATTTGAACGTCTTACATGAAAAAACCTTACCTGCGGTAAACACGTGGTTACAGAGAAATGCGTTCTGAAAGGGGTTCCGTGGTTCGGAGGGGTTGTGTTCTGTTGTTCGAAAAAGTTCTGAACAATACTGGTAAATAGGGAAGCTACAGATAACGGGGCAAATGTTGAAAATAATGAAAGATCCAGGAAGAAAAGTGAAATGGATTTTATTCTAATTGGCGTAATTCGAAGCTTTTTCCAAAATGCGAGAAATTCGCGAATTTTGAAATTGATTTATAGAATGCGCGAATTTCTCGCGGTAATCATTTTTTAATGCGAGAAAAGAAAAAAATATGCGAGATTCTCGCGTTCTCGCGCTGTAGTGAAAACACTGATATGTGACTTAAAGAAGCTTTAAAAATGAAATTCGGGAGGATTTTTATTACAACTAGTTTCTTTACAAACAACAACAACAACAAAAAAAATAATAATAATCGGCATCCAAAAACTTATTTTAAATATCGATCAGAAAAATATTTGCAAAGCAGCTATTTTCTAGGACTTTGAATACAGTTAACATGTCTTATAAACCAGTGAGTTGATATTTAATAAATGTAGTGGTAGTTCTAGCATATATTTAATAGTGGTAGTTATAACACCCCCACACCAGAATTTTATCAGGCATAGAATTCGATGAATGGATACCACTGGTTGATTCAATGCGGTTTTGGAAAAGACTGAGAGAGCCGTATAACATTCAACAAGTTTTGAGCATTTGTCATGATAGCCGTATTACAGGGCACGTAGCCAAATCTTAAAAAAAAAGCACCCTTTAATTACTTTTTAAGCACTAAAAATATTTTTAAACACCCATATATATTAACAAAATGTAAAATAATTTTTAAACCTTTACCTGATCAGGATAAAATAATTAGTTTCTGACAAAGAACTTTTTTCTTGATTACATTAGCCACCAATTATGGATTTGATTTCAGAGGCCCGAAATTGAGAACATCTTGCAAAATGCAGCAGAGTGGCACATGAGAGTGCAAGAATCTCGCCAAACCTAGCTCAGTAGATGCACATGCGGACTCTCAACTATTTCATCAAACATGCATTGGCGCCTTCATAGGGTAGGGACCGACGGTAGGTGGAAATGCATTGTGTTAGAATTAATTTTAAAAAGTTTAAAAGAACAATGTGAAAACCACGCTTTCGCATAATACGCTTCAAAAATCGACATGGTAAAAAATTAAAAAATCTCTTTTTCGAAAAGGGAAAATTAAGCACTTTTTAAAAACACCCAATGAAAAAAGCATCTTTAAGGGCTTTTAAAAAAACGAAAATAAGCACTTTTAAAACTTCTTTTTTTTTCAGCAGCTAGCGTCATGAATTTGTAAGTCACATTTAGAATTACAAATTAGAATACAATGTTATTGCAACCTGAAGAGAAAGTAGATGGAAGCGTGAATTTTTAAACTGTTCACGGCCTGTAATTTATTTTGCTATACATTTTGTAACTTAGGTGATATTTTAAAGGAAGAAAGAAAAAAAAAACGTTTCTTATTTAAATTTCATAAAACCTCTTATAATTCAAGAAATATAAATAAAATCTGATAAGATACAATATCAAATAAATATTGAAACTTATTTTGTACTATAATGGTTTTGCTTTAATTTTTGTTTAAACCCTATAAATTTTTTAAAATTAAAATATGTATGCATTTTTTAAAAATTTTTATAATGAGAGTATGACAGTTTTCTTTGTTAGAATTTTTATTTCTCCTTCCCAATATTTAGACATGTATTTTTCTAATAAATCTGTTATTGATAAAAAGGGGGAAATATTAGAATAAGTATCAGTTTATTTTCTTTTTTGACTGAATTCTAATAATTAAAAGCATTTAAATTTAATTTTCAAATATACTATTTATCTTTTTAATAGAAAAAATTCGTGCTTAGAACACTAATGTTTAAATAAAAATTATCATATTTTCTGCAAACATGACTAGATGTGTGTGGCCCTTAATAAGTTAACCAGCTCGGCTAGTGGCCCTTCACTCAAAAAGGTTGTACACCCCTACATCACACGGAAATAAATAAATACAACATACGTATGATAAACATGATGCTAGGGCTATGAACTGATTTAGTTTATTTTCGGTATTACTAGTTCTGGTCTGAGGCAAGTAAATGAAATTGTTATTCCAAAATAGTTAATATGTTCAAAAGCATGAAAAACTTGACCTAACTCTATAAAATTTCAGAATATATTTATACACATCAATTTAAAACTGAACTATTACTGAGTCTCACATATTTTTATGTTGCATCTCTAATTTAGAAGCAGCAATTGCTGTTTATTTTTTAAAATTTAATTTTTTTAGTTATAATTTTCAGTGTTGAGCATAATCTTGTACGTCTTTACAATTTAAAACTCCTTGAAAACGTTTTTTGCAATAACAGGACTTTATTTGCACAAATTCACAAAAGCAGGACCCTGGTTGAAAGAATGTGACTTAGCGTTTATTTTATATTTACAAATTATGAGTAATTTTTTCACAATTTTACAAAAACGGAGTTTTCACAAAATGTCTGGACAGACCCCTGGAAACCAAATATTGAAAAAATGAGCAAGCAAAATTGCAAATGATCATTTTAATTAAAAATTTAAAGTACATTTTTATTTAAAAAAAATTCTTCAAAAAAGTAGAATCATTCAAGCAATTGCGTAAAAATGTTTATATGCAAAATTATAATTTATGTCTAAAATACAGACACGGCAATTAATTACAAAATGACTGAATATTCTAAATAAATAAAGACTTACATTGTCATGCTTGAAAAAACAAAGCATTTTGATTTCTCTGTAGACACGCTTGCAGGACACTAGATTTTGAAAAATGTTAGGCATCTTCTTCAAAGCTAATTTCTTTCCATCCCTTGGATCAGTTACACACCTAAACACACAAAAAATATACGTTTTACATCTTCAAAGTTGCATAAAACTATTTTATTGTTCAGGTTCTCGCTAACAAAAATCTTAAGCGAGAGGAATCTCCATTTATCCATTATCAAAGATGGGTGTCTATGATCGAGCAGAACACTAAAATAGAAGAGTAGATCAGAAATACCAAGGTTCTTTTAATAGGGATTGTCGACGCTTAATTGATGGCAAAGCACTGCTGAAGCTTTCCCACTGTTGAGCCTCCATTTCAGGAAGAGGATCGTTCCAGTCAAGCTTAAGACACCACAATTGTTGTAAAAAGATTTTCGCTTTTGTGATCACCGGACCCAATATACCAAGAGGGTCGTAAATGCATGCTATTATTGACAGCACTGATCTCTTTGTTGGTGGTACAGTACTTTCAATGGAAGTTTGGAAAGCAAAATTATCATCGGCAGGTTTCCAAATTACACCGAGTGTCTTTGTCTCATCTTGGAAATTATAGTTATTGTCAGACCCTGTTAATTCCGGGTTGTTGCAGTACCACTTGTGCAGGAGCATACCTGCACTGTTTAGAGCCTTTGATAACTCTAACTGCAATTTTTTTGCTTTACTCAAGGAGTCAGCACCACTCAAAACATCATCGGCGTAAAAGACTTTTTCTAACACTGGACAAGCTAGAGGATAGTTGTTAGACTCATCTCTTGCTAATTGCAATAAAACTCTTGTGGCTAGGTATGGTGCACTAGTTGTGCCATAGGTGACAGTTTTGAGTTCGTACGTCTTAACTGGGTCATCTACTCCCTCCCTCCAAAGAATTCTTAAAAGTTTGGTTTGACTCTGATCTATTAAAATCATTCTATACATTTGTTTGATGTCAGCTACAAATGCATAAATATGTTTGCGAAAATTTGTTAATATTTTAAATAGATCTTCTTGAATAACTCCACCGTTATATTGTATAGAGTTGAGTGAATTACCTAAAGTTGTTGGTGAGGATGCATTAAACACGACACGAAGCTTTGTTGTCATTTTATCCGGGCGATAAATTCCTAAGTGTGGAATATAATAGGTTCCTGCTTCTTCCTCACATTCCAAAACTTCGGTCATATGACCTAATGTTTCATACTCGCGCAAAAAATCTCTATACAAACCTAGATATTCAGGATCTTTTAAAAACCGATTCCACAGAGAATTTAATTTTTTAAGCGCGATATCTTTTGATTTTCCCAAACACCTCGGATTATCTTTTAATGGCATTTTTACAATATACCTCCCCGTTTTATCTCTTTTAACGTTTTCCTCAAAGTGTTTTTCGCAAATTATTGCTTCTTTATTTTTGGGTACCTCACACTGCACCTCTTCTATATCCCAAAATTTCTCTATATTTTTGTTTAGTTCAGTATTATCCTGAATAAAACCACAGTGTACCCTTTCCTCTGATTCCATGGGAACGTTACCACAAGCCACGTATCCAAAAACTGTATTTTGAAAAATCAAAGTACCATTATGAGGATAAATTTGACTTGGCAGCAATAATTCGTAAAATATCTCAGCACTTAAAAGTACATCGATACGACTTGAAAGTTTTCATCGGCTAGTTTAATAAACTCTAATTCAGGTAAATTTATCTTTATCACTTTTGACGGCATAAAATCTGTAATTTTAGGTACAATTAAAAAATCTAAATCTCTTTCAAAACTTCCCTCAAAATTAGAAATTGTAGCATTAACAAAGGATTTAATTGTTGTGAATGTATCACCTAAACCGCAAACCGTTATGTTTGTTTTTTCTTTCTTTAAGTTTAAGCTATTTGCACAATCTGAAGTCATAAAATTATTCATTGCACCCTGATCTAATATTCCACGGACTCTATATTTATTTCCTCGATTATCTTTCAATAAGCAATTAATCGTACTCAGCAAAACAGTTTTTCTCTGATTTATTACTCTCGATGAAAGAATCGGATTGTTTTGACTTTGAGTAGAGCCAGACGCCTGAAATATTGGTGCGATTGGCGACAGAGTAGATTTGTTTACTCTAGGAGAGGGGGAAAGAGCCTCATTAGCATTTTCATTTTTCCCATTCTCAATACTTTCGTTTCTAGGATAATGTAAAGAGAAATGATGTCTTTTTATTTTTTCCTTCTTGCTTGCATATTGAACAAGAAAATTTTGAATTACACTTACTCACTAAATGTTTTCCCAGGCAATTAAAATGGTTATTTTTCTTAATTACTTCTACTCTTTCAGAAACGGGTAATCCCCAATAATAATTGCATTTATATAAAGGATGACTTTCCGATGAACACATGATACACTTTACACTCTTGCTATCGGCCAAAAATGCTCTAGGCATATTTCTCATATTAGACGATTTATGACTGTAGACCTCCGTTAAAGATTTTCCGCGTGAAACAAAAAATTAATCAGCTTCTTTGCCTAAACTTACAGGATCAAACCAGCCGCTAGACTGTCTAATGCTTATATGAGAAGCGGTTTCCTTATCTAAAGTTTGATATAATTTCTCCGATACAATTCATTGTTTTAGCTTTTCAAAATCAGACACTTCTCTCAATTTTAAATAATAATTAAAGCTAGTAGTTAAACGTGATGCAAATTGCAAATGGGTTTCCTTTGTGTGCCTAGCAGTTTTCTTAAATTTCTCTAAACAATACTGGGGGGTCGGTTCAAACTCCCTCAATACAATTATTTTTATTTTATCATAATCACTGAGTTCGTTATCACTTATGTAAGAAATTACGTTTGACACTTTTTCGCCTAGTAAGTTCAAAAGAATTTCAGCCTTAAATTTAGCGGGTACAATTTTTGTTATAAAGGATCTTTCCAAAGAAGCAAAAAATAAACCCCATCCTTCTGGCTGACTGGGAACTCTAATAGTTAAAGTTTTTATACTTTTTATTATCGAATCCAGAGACTCGCAATTCTCAACTTTGTTTTCCGAATAATTATCATTAGTTTTTTGAATTGGCAGCTTGCGCAACAATTCCAATTCTGCTTTCGCTCTTTCTAATTTTATTTGTTCCAATTGTAACTCTTGTTGTTTGCTTTTTTCAAGTTCCTCTGATTCTGTTTTCCTATCATCTATTATCCCCTCGATTAAGGATCTGTTTTGTAACTCTCAGTATTTTTTATAAGATTAGTAAGATCTATATTTGTCATTTTATCACTTATTATCACGCCTAACTCAGTAGCGGCAAGTTGTAAGTCTACTTTTTTCGCGCCTTTAAACATTTTGCAAACAAAATACAATCACAAAATTAACATATATTACTTAACTCATATGGGTAAATACAGAATTTAACTGGGGGAGTAAATGACCAGAAAGATCATGCACCTACTTTGACACTAGATGATGCTCAACCAAGAAGGTTTCACTTTTGATTTTAAAGTTTCTCTTTGATTATGTCGTAGCTTACGCACAATGAACATTAATTGCACATCAGTCATGTCGACGCTCAGGTAAATTTGAACTCGCTCAATAAATAGAAAGAAAGCGGACTGTAATTTTATGCACAATATTTATTTCTTATTATTTGGAAGAGAGCTTTTTTGTAGCTCGCTACAGCTCTCCTTCCACACACACACTCTCTCTAAGTGTTACAAGTTATACTAAGTGGCGCTACAAATCCGTGCGGACACAGGGATCTATTTTGTGAAAATTTAGACATAATTTGTGAAAATTAAAAATTATATTAAAAAATCAACATAAAGATAAGTTAAATAAGAAAATATTTTCAAAAATTGTCACTACAATTAAAAATGATTTATGATTGGTAAATTTCTATATACATTTTTCCTATATGTTCAAAAACAATTTTGCAAAATTTAATTATTGTAAAACTTTGGGCCAAAAATTCCTTAAAATTGTATACCCAAATTTGAATATCCATAAAATTGATGTTCAATAATTAAATTTTAACTTAAATAAAAACATACATTTAACAGCACTAAAATTTATCTTCATTACGAGAACATTTTGACTGAGTCATACAGAAAAAAAAGTTTCACAGAGAAAAAAAATTTCATAAAAAAATACAGGTCAATTAGAATAAATTTAGAAAAATGTTTAAAATAATAGTTTGAATTTCGACTTCCTGTAAACTTCATAGAGGGACAGCCTCGTCATTTCATTTATGGGGATACGACAACAAGATTTTACGAGGTGGGGGATCTTAGAACTTGCTCTTTTAAAAGTATAGTAAGAAATTATCCTTTTCTCGTAGGTTGAATTTATGAAGTTACTGCTAGATGGTAGTAAATTTACCCTGGACAAACCCATGAATATGATCCACAAACATTTTGTGAGAAAATACTCGTTGCAAACACAGTTGGTAAATGCATTAATTTCGTTTCTAGTAGAGTCAGGGTTTATACGTCTGATTTCGGTAGTCGATTATGAAATTATGTGGATATAGTTATCGACTACGTTGACCTATTGAAAGGTACCTCGATACAGAATCGAGTTAATATGTCTTATATACTAGGGAATCGGTATTCAATATTTGGACTGGTAGTTACGCCACGCAATCAATCACCCTATTTGTATATCAAGCTTCACGTCAAAACTGTCATGATGGAAAATTTTCTCATCAGTTGTGATATCAAGAGTATTTCAATGTTATCTGTCAAGAGTTAAAAATATGTGGCAACAAGGTACACATACATTGGTGACCCGGACATATGGGTATGTGAGAAACGCTTTTTTTCTTCTTCAAATGAGTAATTAATATTAAAAGTATCTTGCCTAAAGATATTAGTGCTAGGGAAGTTTTAAGCAAAAATGTCCAAAAAATTTTGCTCAGTTTAATTATAAATAATAACACTTATTAATGACTTTTTTTTTTAAAAAAAAAGGAAAAAAAAAAGAAGTAAATATTGCTATTTGAACGATATTTGGTATTCGGCTGATTTTCTTGCCTAAATATTCGGTATTCGACCAAATCACTATCAGTTACATCACAATTAGCAATTAAAAACCATACTTTTAGCGACAACTTTAAGACTTATTATTTTTTTCATAAACATTGCACACATACTTTTGTTAATGCTATTAATATTTTATTATAATTTGGAAATGATCAAATAAAATTCTACTTTTTTTTAACGTCAAGTGTCCTCTCAATTTTAAAAACATAAATTTACTGGTGTGCATTTAAAAAACAATTTCCTATAGTGAACACCGTAGCAGAATTATACTAGCTATCTGCGACAAAACTTTCTAGCACTAATATCTTTCTGAGATACTTTTAATAGTAACAAAAATATAATGCAATAATTTTTTATGGGTGATATAGGAAATTCTAATATTATGGGTGATATTCTCATAATTTGTATGGCGGAGGGGAACGCACAATTTATTTCCTTCTTTACATGTTGGAAATAATCATCACAATATAAAAAATCATGAAATCTGTAGTAGTATTTACTGAAAAAAAGATAGATTTCTTAAACGTGTGTTTCCTTTCGAGATTAGGTTGCTGTTATAAATAAAATCATATAAAGAATATTGGGTTTAAAATCTATGGAGAAATCAATAGCACTAACTGCTAAAAATTCAATAGAATTAGAATAGAATTCGATAGCCTTGAGAAGTATATACTAAATTCGAATTTTCCAAATTGCTTGAAATACATCAAGATATTTAAAATCCACGTGAAAACCAACATCGATAACTGCCGAAAACGATAATTTGGCGTAAATTGTGCACGTCAAAAAATTATTAGATAAATGTATGATTCAAATATTACAGGTAAATTTCCATAGAGAGAAAAGTAATTTTTGTTTTACTTTTCAAAAGAGAAATATTTCTGCAAGAACTCTGTAACGTTCTGTGACAATGATTCTGACACCAGGTAATGATGTCTCAAACAGTGTTTTTCATCATAGAAAAAAAATGGGTGAGAATTTCTCAAAAACAGGGTGAGATTTCAGAAAGTTAAGTGAGATTTCTAAAAACTAGAAAAACACAAATAGACTTGTAAAAAAAAAATCATTTCTTTTATTATAATACATTTCTAACGTCTTTTATTTTTTAAAGCATTGAATATTCTTGCTGCATCACATCATAGAAGATTTTGCCTTTACTAGGTATTTGTCCATCTTACATTAGTGCATAAAAAAGTTGAACGTCTTACATGAAAAAACGGTAAACACATGGTTGCAGAGAAATGTGTTCTGAAAGGGGTTCCGTGGTTCGGTTGTGTTCTGTTGTTCGAAAAGGTTCTGAACAATACTGGTAAATAGGGAAGCTAGATAATGGTGCAAATGCTGAAAATAATGAAAGATCCAGGAAGAAAAGTGAAAAGGATTTTATTCTAAATAGCGTAATTCGAACCTTCTTCCAAAATACGAGAAATTCGTGAATTTTGAAATTGATTTATAGAATGCGCGAATTTCTCGCGGTAATCATTTTTTAATGCGAGAAAAGAAAAAAATATGCGAGATTCTCGCGCTGTAGTGAAAACACTGTCTCAAAGGATGCATCATAAGTTTTTTTCTCCATATTTAATGAACTATAATGAATGAAGCAAAATCCTCAAAAAAATTTTATCTTATACTTAAAATTCAACGAGTTTCTTAGTTTTTTTCTTTCAAACAACAATTTAAATATAATCCAGATAAAACAACAACTTCATTCGGCATATGAAAGTATCCTTCAAATAAAAAATGTTAAAAGCATCTTTATTAAGAAATAAGCACATTTATACACTGAGGATAGTTCTCATCGGTTATGTAAACAGTATATTAATGAGCTCATATACAATATACTCACCTAGTAGGGGATAAAATATATTGGAGAAAAAAAATTCTTGGTATTCCAGAAAAGTTTACTGGAGTTACTTACCAAACGACCCCGAATGCACCATATCCGATTGGTTTGTGTATGTGCAATGATGTAACAGAAGGATGGTAGAAAGATTGAGTGGCTGACAGAATCGCATGTTGGGAAGTAGTCACAGACATGCCAGAAAAAGTCATAACATGCCGATTTGTTCGTGGTCCAACAACCGCCATGTTTTTTTTAAAGAAGAAAAGCCAATATTTTTAAGCCATAATAAATAGTAATGGGTACAGATCAGGAGACTTCCCTGGCTGAAGTTTAACAAACCAGGATTTATCCATAACTTCAGTAATCATTCTCAGATTATAATAAAGTTTTAATTTTAGAAAGAAAATAATTGATTAACTGAACAGGAAGCATATTTAGTTTAGTTAACTTAAAAAATTCTCATTTAGCGAAGGACATACATAAACAAATAAACATAGCTCATTGTTCAATATGTAGACCTATTGACCAATTCTGTATATTTGCTTAAAGCTTACTTTTTTAATATCACACGGCATTATTCTGCTAGCTACTTAGCCTCAACTATAAGATTCATTAATAGAAACACAGAGCTAAGAGCTAAAGCAGAGAGTTCGTCTTACTTTTCTACAATCTACTTAAAATTATCTGTTTATTTATAATTTCATTTTTCAATGCAATTTAATTAAATATAATCGAAAGATCAAAATATTGGAGGCAGTCGCTCGTAAGTAGTTCAAAACTTAGTCACGATTTGTGATAAAAATAGTACGATGAAAGAAAATAATTAATAATAGTATGAAATTTAATCTGAGAAAAAAAATTAATTTATCTAAATTATAAGTACACAAATTTTTTTTTTATTATTTAACTTGTACTAATGGAATTTTTCTTCTTCTTTATGAACTGTAGATAATTGTACAATTCGCTAATTTAAATTGTTTGCGTTTCTTCATTCTTAACGTATTTTTCTCTCACGAATATATATATATATATGTAATATTATATATATAAGTNATATATATATATATAAAAAGATACGTTAAGAAACGCAACCAGTTTATGTTAGCGAAGTGTGGTCATTGCTTATTGAGAAATCAAGATATTAATCGGTCTTAGTAATGTAGGACTGATCAATTTCCCTTCCTATTTCCTAAAGACACATCATCCATTTTCTGAGATAATTGGTTCAATATTCTTACTTTCAATGTGAGAAAGGTTATAAATGATTGCGTGTTAGATGCAAGCTCTATTTATATGAGTTATATTTAATATATAATTCTTTTAACATTACATATATATATTATATCCTTTCAAAGAATTGCAAAAGGTATCCGTCTCCTTATTGCCGAAGCTTATGTCATGAAATCCAGGCTACTGACGCAACAAACTGATTTTAAAATTACCTCACTTGTAGGGGTGAGCTTAACATTAATGGACACTGATGTAGACTATGCCATTTAATTAATTTAAACTTTGAAGTGATCGTTGAACAGCTGACCCAATTTTTTGGTTTACCACTACTAATGTTCTACTCTATAGCTAAGTAATTTTGAACCCAATCCAAAAGACAAGGGAACTCTTGCATCAAGTATTGGGAGAAATTTGCCTTCGAAGAGGACTTTTTGATGCAATTGTCCCACATTTGTGTTACATGGAGAGAAAGACCACAAGAACCTCTCACGGTTAGCCTGATGGCAAAGGGACTCTGACCCATGATCCGTCACAAGGATTGCGCCAGACTCTGCCCGACAAGGGGTCAAGCCTCCCCCGACAGGGAGGCTCAAACTAATTAATTCAAAATATTTAAATTAAATCAAATTTTATACTTTACGTTTTTTTCTCACATCATTTTTTTCAAGTGTTTTTCTAAAAATCACTAATATTGATACCATAATGTGCATATTCCTTTTAATGTCAATTTAAATCTTTTTTTTTTTTTCTTTCTGTTATCGATGTATTTTGTACTGTATGATGCAATATACCATACATTTTAAGCGCAGAAGTTATTTCTGTAATAAAGAAAAATAGTTGTAGCAGTAACAGCTATTTCAAGAAATTTCTACGCTTCTTACTCTCAAAGCACAAAAATTATTCGTTAATAAAAATTTGAAATTTCATGCACATTTAACAAAACACTGGAGGAACATTTTGATATAAAATGTTATTTTTATATGCATCGATTGGCTTTTGAATGTTTTGCATCATTTAAATGTTTTGCAAATAAAGTTTTAAATACATTGTTTGAACCCGTTTTGAATGAACTTTGAAATGATTATGCTCATGAAATTTTAAAATTCGAATTTTTATAAATTGTTGCATAGTATAATTTTACGGACAAAAAAAGGGCTATTTTAATCAGGGGACTCAATGTTAATGTATATTGTAAATAAATACAAAGAGACTTTTAAAATTTCTCCTTGCGATTCCTTTTTCTTTTCAAAAATGCTTTTAAAGTGAACATCTATGCCCGGTAAAATGCTAATTTCTCCATTTGAGAAAAAGAATAAGTCCATTGGCTTAAAATATAAGATTCAAACAATATAGCTTAAATTTGTAATTGTTTTTCAATTTACAAATTTTAAATTTGCGTCCGAGAAACGAATATTAACTAACTTAATTTTTAAAAAAAATTGCCGCACATGGCTGCTGTTTGTTTGCCAATGTTTTCGTTTCGCTGCAAAGCTGAAAGCTCACTTTCTACCAAGATTTCTGTTTCGCCCTGCAAAAGCTTTTACATACTGACATACGCTTGCAACAAATAACCTTTCACACAGTTAATTAATTATTGTTTACCACATATCAATGCAAAACATTCCTTCCTCTATGATTTGAATTTGCTTTCATAGTTACGAATTTTAAGTCACTAAAAATTAAGAAGTTAGCGGATCAAATTTCGAAAAATAAGAGTTTTTTATTTTATTTCTCAGGACTTATTTGACCGATTTTGCTTACATTTTGTATTTTGACATTCAAAGTTGCAAATGATGAAAAAATTTTACACCTTACATTTAAGTTTCTCGACTTCCCTTAAATAAAGTAATAATAAATGTTTACCAAAAGTTTTATTTTGCATGAAATTATCTTTAGAAAAAGGAATAGGAATTGATTGATCTGATTGGAATTGTATGCAAAACTTTTTCAATTCGCTTAAAAAAAATTGTAAAAAAGTGAAATACGCAAAAACTAAAGTTAACATTAAATGGTCCTAACTTTCAAGCGTTCTCCTGAAAAAACTATTAAAACAATATTTCTAGATTGTAACTACTACACTTTGGGAGTCAGAAATCTGAATCCGTCAAAAAAGGTATGCTTAATCGGATAATGTTTTTATGTCTAATTTCCTAACTTAAAATATCCTTTGGACTAATTAATTAGTATATTTGATTTAGCCCTCTCGAACCATTAAGAATGAGTCCTAAAACATGAAGATCTGAACTTAAGATTAAAATTTATCCATTTATTTTTTTACGCACTGTACATTCATTTGAAGTATATATCAATATTGCTGATAATCGCAAAATAATTTTTCATTTTTATATCGAAAGGTAATTTAGCTGGTGGTTATCCATGTATGGGTGATTCTCACGAAATTTGACAATTCACTGTCCCTTGCTCCAAGATCGAATACTATAATACTAATATAAGAACTTATATATATAAGAACTTTTTTATTTTAAATTAATAAATTGCATTGCTGTTAGCATTTTAAAATGACTTTGCAATAGCATTGACTGTTTTGTATTGTTAAAAAATTTTATTAAACTTCAAAATGTCATTTTCCTGGCATGTACCAAACAATGTTTCCAATAATAACTAGCTTCAAAACTTCCTATAAATTTTTCAATATCTAATTTTTTTTATCTCAACCGGTGTAAGCATTTCTAGAATATACGCAGAGGGTATTATTTACAAAAACTTCGTTTAAAATAATTTTTTCTGTCAATAATTTGTTTGTCCCAAGAAAATCTGTCATTTTCCTGGCTACTTTTATTTAGTGGTTTATAACCAAAATAGATAGAGCCAGCAATCAATATCTTATGTTAATAGATTGATTAGATACCCTCCTATATGAACATGTCTTGTTGCATGAATAAAGAACCAATTTTCTGGTTCAAAATCTATTTCAGAAAATTTTTCAAGTTGAGTAGGTTTTTGTGTTGTCATTTTCCTGGCTTCTTGAAATCATTAATAACCTAAACTACATAGATTTATCTGAGTTATTTTAAGAAATCCCATTGTTTTCTGCAGAATGTAAACATCTTATCCAAAATATTAAATTAAAATAAAGTTATAAGCTATAAAATGGCGAATTTGTCATTTTCCTGGCTTATGAATTCCAGGACATGGAAGTGTTTTTTTAACTGCTAATACTGTAAGGAGGAAAAGCAAATATTAACTTAATACCAACTTTATGTATGATTGTAATATGGTTGGATGTAATCAAAGTTATTTATTTACTAATGATTGATTATTATACACAATTTTAGTCTGTAGGGGGAGGGGGTACATTACAACAACTAGAATTTCTGCCTTCTAATATTACTTAATGATTGGCCAATATGACAGACAATAAACTTTAATTATGCAGAACTGTTGACATTTGGTTTTAAGCACTTTCTTTTTACCACTGTTGCGTTACTGTGTGGAACATGTTTTAACATTCCAAAAGTAAAAAGTCAGTTTTGATTTTAAAACTGTTTATCTACCAGTAATCTTTTAATAAGGTAAGTGATATTTATTCATTAACTAGTTTATTTAATTCTGCTTCAATTTGTATTATTTATTAGTAATAATAAGTCTTTTTCTAAAGTGGTTGATAACACTTTAACCAAAATGTCTGTACCTGGGGCAGATTTTAACAGACCTTAGGGGACACATTTCAACAGTGTTGAAAGGTGCCCTGGGCTTATTATTTTTTTGTCAAGTTATCTTGCAGAAGTCATTAGTCTGTAAAAAGCCCATTAATTACGGTTGTTACATTTAAAATACTCAACTTTTTCTGTAAGGCATTAGTCTAAACTTTTTGAAAAATGTGTGAATGTGTTCAAGGAAGCATGTTTGTAAAAAAAATTTCAATTATATTAATTTTTTTTAAAAGCTTAAAATAAAGATTCAGTTAGTTGCATTGTTGTTGAAAATAGAATTTATTAACAAGGAATTCATTAAACGAGTCAATAAACTAATTATTTTGAAATTTTATAAAAATATTCAAGAAAATTTGATTTAGAATAAAAATAATTTAATTTTGAGAAAATTAAAAAGCTTACGATGTAACATATTTAATAAATCAATCCTGTTATTTTACCTTCTTACCGTTAATAAAAATGGTGGGAACATATTTAAAAAAAAATCGCACTAAACCAGAAGTTAGTGAAGAAAACATTGAAAAAGCAATGGAAGCTGTCAGAAATGGTGCATCTTTAACAGCTGCAGCAAACTTATTTGGAATGGATTTTTCAGCTTTATTTTATAGATTAAAAAAAAAAAATAAAGTCAAATAATTGTTTGGTTGATGAAATCAAACAATGTACAACTAACACAAAATGCTACAGTTCTAAATACGCAAGGCAACAAGTTTTTGATATCCAGCAAGAAACCCTGGAGTCATAGGGCCATTCAAATCTAAATTTAGAGTAGCACAAAATGATTGGATGGTATTGAATCCAGGTAAGACCATTAGCATACATAACTTGGCTGCAATAGCAAATACTGCATAGCACGAAC